TGTAAATACCTCAAACTCAATCTTCTCACCTCAGCCTCCCAAGTAGCTGGGACTATAGGTATCCACCATAGCACCCGGCTGTTTTTTAGAGACAGGATCTCATTCTTGCTCAGGCTGGTCTCAAGCTTCTGAGCATAAGGGATCAACTCGCCTTGGCCTCCCAGAATGCTAGGATTATAGGCTTGAGCCACTGTATCTGGCAAAAAATTTAAATTTTTAAAGAGAAGAAAATCTTTAAAATATTATTAAATATATTCTTCAAGTGAGTTTTTTTCCTTTTGCTAAGCTGTATTTTATAGATGTCTTCAATATGCATGAAGTAGTATAATAAGTTATTATATAGAAAGACTTGCAAAGGCCAGGAGCGGTGGCTCACGTCTGTAATTCTAGCACTCTGTAAGGCTGAGGTGGGTGGATTCCCTGAGCTCTCAAGTTCGAGACCAGCCTGAGCCGCAGTGAAACCTTGTCTCTAAAAATAGTCAGGCCTTGTGGCAGGCGCCTATAGTCCCAGCTACTTGGGAGACCAAGGCAAGAGAATCGCTTAGGCCCAAGAGTTTGAGGTTGCTGTGAGCTATGATGCTATATCACTCTACAGGGGGTGTAAAGTGAGACTTTTGTCTCAAAAAAAAAAGAAAAAAATTTCCATGATTTTTAAAATTTTTTTTTAATACAAAAGTGATAAACATTAGTAGAGTAAAACATACATGTCACCCTACAAGTAAATATTGCCTATACTGCCAATATCTAGTGCAGGGGTCCTCAAACTTTTTAAACAGGGAGCCAGTTCACTGTCCCTCAGACCGTTGGAAGGGCTGGACTGTGGGCCCCGGAACGAGTCAGCTGGTAAGCAGGACAGGCAGCAGTGGCAAAAATACCTGGTAGGCCGTCCCAGGCAGGCTGCATGTGGCCCACGGGCCATAGTTTGAGGACCTGTGAGACCCATTCTTAACATTTTATGGCATATTGATATATAAATGCATTTTATTTTTGTCAAAAGGATTATATCATCACATTTTTTGATAATCTGATTTTTAAACTAAACATATCTGGTACACATACCTCCTCTACCTTATTAAATATCCCTTCATATAGATATATCCATTTCCTATTACATGACACTGTTTTTGTTTTTT